AAATTGCTCTTCTCAAAATGTAGGCCTATAACATTCCTACATCCTTTCTGCAGATGGTTGGAATTTAATCTCTTTAAGCTCCACCCTCCCAATGAAGGTCCTCAGTTTTACAACGTCTTTATGCAGAGCCCAGGTATATTTCTTATTGGACATTAAAAAAAAAAAAAAAACTCACAGTGAGTAGAATAAGTTGAAGCAAGGTTATCAGCTTATTCAAAGTCTCCAACAGTGTTCCCTCAAATGCCACACAGACTTGAAGTAACGGGACAGGGGACACTTACTGCATCACCAACACCATTTTTTTGGCTCCTGGATTTTCCTCGGAGGCTCTTGTAAATGTTGCTTTTTAACTGTGGCATAGTCACAGTTATTAAGTAAAGCTGAGGCCTTGCCAACTTTCTGGTTTTGCTGCCCAAATTACTGAACGTTTGGTTGATTATAGTCCTAAAACACCCACATACTAAGAAGCTTTTAAACATTTCCTCCCCTGGGCAATCACCTGGTATACCTGAACTGAAAGTCCACCATATATAAATTAAGTATTTACTCAACTAACTGCTGTTAAAATCAATGGCCTTGAGGTATACATCAAAAATTACATAATAGAGCTTGGCTTTTATAAATTAAAACTCCTAAAACTTAAATGCTATGCCCTCCTCTTGACCTGGAAAACTGATTTTAATTTTATATGCAGTAGTATGGAACAATCCCTAGAGATAAGTACATTGTTGCTAAGTGTCCAGTGTATGAACTCATACATCAACTGCAACAAAAGAAAGGTGAACCACCGGAAAGAAAAATTAAATACCTAACTTTTAAATTATTATGTGTACAATAATGTTTAGTAATAGAGAGTACAAATGATAACTCCTCACCATCCAAGTTAAATATCTGCAGTAAAAAAAAAAAGTACATTTCTCAATAATACATTCATGACCAAGAAAAATTACTGTTTTATGTTCTAATTAGAAGGACAACCAAACCAAGGAACCAACACAGCCTAGGCAAATGAGAGTATAAAAATTTGTGGAAGAGTGTTAGCCACAATTCAAGCTCACTTTCTCACACAATTTTTCATCGCAAATCAGGACAAGGAGTGTGGAGACAGCGGAAGGTTAGTTTCCTAGCTGGATGAAATGATTGAACAAGAATAATGATGTATACGTATGTTGTATTATAAAGTTGTACACCTGAAACTTGTATAATGTTATAAATATTGTCACCCCAATACATTTAATTTTAAATTAAAAAATTGAAGGTTAAAAAAAAATTGTTTCCTCCATGATTTCAGAGACCTAATAACTAATGGGAAAGAAACGAGCATTAGAAAACACGAGTCAGGCACGGAGTCCCTGCGTGGGCCAGACGACAGTTAAGGGGCTCTTTCTAATTCAAAGAGAGCGTTTCTTCTGGGTCTCCGCGGTTGAACAACCCGTCCACTCTCATGATTTCTTCATAACCATTCACTGCTCCAGCAGGTGCTTACAGTTTCTGAGACATTGAAACCCCAAAGCAAGGTGATGGATGTTGAAGTATACTGGAGCACGGGCCATAATAGCATGAACAGTGACCAAGTCCATTGGCAAGAGAGGAAATCTCATGTTGACAGTATCTAAGTGACTATCGCTGGCTGCAACATCTTCAGTATAAACCTTGGTGGCCTCCACAATGTATATTGCCTCAAATAGCTGCAGCAAGAGTGAAAAACACAATAAAAAAAAAAAGGAAGCCCCAACTTGGGAGCCCAGGAAACTACCCTCACAAGCACATGAGGCTGCTCCAGAGGATAGGATATTAACCTTTTGGGAAATAGAGTTCACTTTTGAAATCTGATATTTCATGGATTTTCTAAAAAAAAAAAAAAATAGCATGCATGACCATACACAGAGTACAATAATGTTTTGGGTTATTCAAAGACCTGTTTAAGTGTCTTAATGAATTCCACTGGAGAATTAAAGACCTAAAGACTCCCCAAAATACATACTTGGGAGCAACTAAAAGGAGCTAGATGAGCAAAAAGACAAGTAGCAAATGGCCAGAACAGCCACCAGGACTCAGCCAGGGAAAAGCTGTTTAAGAGGGGCAATAGGTAAAATAAGTTGGAATTAAACAGATCTTAGGAGTTTTGTGATTAAGGACAATTACTTACCCCTTTGAACACTTCCCTACCTCTGTTTTCTTATCTGTAAATTCTGTAAAAACAACCATTTTATGAAAGGTTGCTATGAAGATTAAATGAGAGAATTTGTTTAATCTGCCCAATGAATAGGTATTCAATGAATGAATATTGGTTCCTGGTGGTATATAAACTTAGAAACAAAGTTCTGAAAGGATATCATTTTTCACTGTGATAGTTAAAAACTGGAAATTATCTGTATGTCCATGAGAGGGCAATGATAAAATAAACTATCATATATCTACACAGTGAAATAGTATGCAGCAGTTTTCAAAATCAGTTCAATCTATGTTTACTGAAGTTGATATAGTAGCATGAATAGATATTCAGGCTATGCTATTAGGTGAGAATAGTCGGATGTATAATAATGTAAATAAAATTCTGTCCTATGAAGTAATCACAATTTATATAAGAATTTCCCATTGATGGACATTTAGGTTGGTTTCTGTTTTTCTCCCCAAGCTTAAGTAACAACTCTTTATAACCAAGTTTCAGCGGGTTTTTTTTTTCTGTAAGGTGAATCTGTAAAATGTAAATTGCTCAGTTAGAAGACATAAACTTTGTAAAACTTTAGAAAGACATTGTCAAATTACTTTGCAGTTAAACCATATGAATTCATAATTACATATACCTGAAATAAGGCTACCCATTCACCATGCCCTATTTATTTTGCATACTTCCTGAATGTTGTTATATTATAGTCCAAATTTATTTGGTATCATATTAATTTGCATTTTAATATTATTAAGGATGAACATTGCTTTCATATGCAAGTTAGTATACTATGTTTCTTCTTCTGTAATTACTGTCCTCTGCAGACTTTTCTATAGATTTTTAGTAGTGTTTCTTTTCCATTAAATTTGTAGTGCTCTACATATAAAATATAGAAATCCTTTGGCTATCATATGGATAGTTGTGCCACATGTAAAAGTTCTATGGGGTCCTTGGAAAATCCCAAGATTGTATGGGGGTTCTGAGAAGCAATAAAACAAAACAAAACAAAAAAGTCTGGAAAAATGTCCATACATACCCACACAGAATCATGTAGAGGGCTGATAACTTCAGATCTAAACATTACCCACAGGTCAAAAGTAAACACACAATATTAACATTCCATATAGCAAAAAAAGTTGTTCTCTTTCCTAGAAGGCACAAAATTCTTAATTTGAGCTCACATAGATACGTAGACAAATAAATAATAGAAAATACTAACAAATTATATTCTTGGTTGCCTCTTGCCCAAGAAAAATAAATTTCTATAATCTATTAATTTGTTTACAAAGATCCCAAAGGTTAGGCATAAAACCAAATTCCAATCATTGCTGTCACCAATGGGGAATAATTTACTGAGTGTAAAAGTTGCTAAAACAAAACACAAAAATAGCAAAAAGGAAAATATGTAAAGAAACAGAGGATCAGTAAAGTGGAAGTTCTGGTGCCCCTGGGAGTTTACCTCCTGGAGCCAAGAAAAGGACGCCTGGGTCTAAGTCATCATCCGTGAGGTTCAAACTTCCTACAGCCACAGAGGTTACTCAGCTATCAGGGGACTCCCTCGGGCATCACAGAGGAACTTCAAAAATGTTTACAAAATAATAGCTCTTAAAAAGATATATTTGTGACTCTCATACTGATATAAAATGAATATGATGAAGGTTATATTTAATTTATTAATTACAGAGGGAACTAGTAAGATATCACAAACATTTCAAAAGAGAATTCAAAGAGCGTAACGTGTATAAGGAATCAGGAAAATTGAAATTAACTTATAAATAGATAGAAAAGCATGTCCCAATATAGGGCAATAATTAATTGCATTCCAGTAGGCAAGAATATTTTGCTTTATTACCAGTTTTCTACAACTTAAGGAGTTCTAAAATAGAACAAAAACAATGAAAAGCAAAAGAAACTTGGATGGGTGAGCCACTCAGGACACCCAATCTTTTTGTTTAACCCATTTCAAAGTCTTTGCAATTTTACTGACATTTAATAAAAGATAGATCTAATATATTCTTGTTCAGCTAGCACAAGATATCAGTACTATGGGAAAAGGCAATACCAAAGATTTTCTCTCGTCCCAGATCTAAATTTCTTATTTCTTCCTACCGAGAAGAAGAGAGAGCAAGTAGCATTACTCTTTTATACGTCAAATATAATAAAGGCCCAATGACTAATAATTTTCCATTTGTAGATAGTGTCTAACAAAAGTATCTCTCTTTCTCTTTTATCGATACCATATCATTGAATATTTGTTCACACAGGAGCTCCCTAAGAGGCTGTAAGTATGATAGACTATCCTGAATAAAGGTAAAAAGAATGAATCTTTTTTTAAGGATTATAATTTAAAGGGGTAGAAAGCATGTCAATAGTTTTTAAAGTGATAAAAGCTTTTCATGAAACCCACCATGAACGGGTTACTTTCACGAGTCTGAATCAATTCCAAACTTGAGACATTTTTATTACTTGAAATCAAAATAGAATACTTTTTACTTATTAACCTGTGATCACATGTGTTTGCGAAGGCCTTCACTGGGAAATCTGCAGTTAGAGACCCATGTGGTTCAGCAGAGTCAAGACAAGTATAAGCCTGGGACTCCAGTTTGATCCTAGATATTTTCAGTAATGTCACGACCCAGGGCCTCAAATCTCCTGATTGGAATTATCACCACTCTTCAGAAAATGAATCTGGAGAAAAATATGGAAAAGCCTCCATGGCCACAGCCTTTTTAGGTCTGTTTCCTACAATATTGAAACAAAAGGAAAATTTATTTAATGCGAATTATTTATATGAACTGGGCTGATTAACAATATGACTTATGTATTTCAGGCTCAACCAGGTGATGATTCTACTAGAGCCTCTATCAAGACAGAACTATACATACAGGCTGTCATTTTTGACCACATTTTCAGAGGATAGCTTTAACTACCAACATGTTACATGGTTCCCTAATTGTATGCTAAATTTAAATGAAACTTGTAACTGAAAACAAATTAGAATAAAAAATGAGTACTACAGCTGGAAGACAAATTAGAATATTAAAAGTTAATAAAGAAATTAGAAAGGAATCTGTAATCTTGTCTGTTTTTTAAAAATTATTGTATAGATGGCCTGTTAACATAATTTAAGTTTTTTCTAACTTTTTTTTTTTTTTTTTGAGTGCTGAGGCTGATTGCAACACTTAATGGAAGAAAATCTTTTTGCTACTTCAAGGATACAGTAATTAGTGATACATTTTGTAGCTAAGATTTTCCCAAATAAAATGTTTCAGACCCTACTATTGTTCAAACTTAGTGGACCAAACCTTATGCCATGTGGCATAAACTCACTGAATATTGATAAGGGTCACACACTGGGATAGATGTAGAGAAATATAAATATAGGGTCCTCAATAACAGTAAATAAGTAAATAAAGTATGAAATATCCCCTGCGATGATGTGTAAAATGAATGAAAGTGTTAGGCATGTTTAGTGTCTGAATGATATGAACTCCAGGACAAAGAAGCTGAGGAAAAGAAATCTAAAGGAATGCAGAAGACTGCAAAATACCATATGATCTCACTTATATAAGGAATCTCATGAATAAAATAAACCAATGATCAAAATAAAAACAGAGCCATGGATACATAGAACAGACTGGTGGAAGGTGGCCTCTGTCCCGCAGAGTACATTCCGGGTTGTCGCGGATGGGGAAATAAAATAAGTCATCCCAGACAGTTTTATCGGTCTGCCAGGGAAAGGGGTGGCAATTCCCTCTAGTGGAGAGTGCCCCGAGCGCTTCTCTTGAAGTGGCTTTTACTGAGAACCATATGCGCAGGGGTACACAGCATGGATGCAAAGCTCATCAATCAATGTCAAGAGGACGTTTACAGAAGACAAATAGAGATCATAGATAACAGTGAAGGAACACAAGAGATTTGCTTCAGGTCAGGGTCTGGTAGACAGGGTGGCACCCATTCATCCCTGAATGGGAAACCTGGGGAACTGATCACATTCTATGCTCAACCCCAAACATCAGTACTCATTGACTCTAGGGCATTCTTAGCAAAGTTAGTTTCATAGGATTTGATGCATTCCTTTTCCAGGCCTATATGTCCCCAAAACCGCCTGATCCAGTTTAGGGCTGTACCTGCCTTTAGTATTGTTTCAAGCCTGAGCCAGGCAGGTGGGGCAGAGCTGCACAGAGATAAGGAGACTTCTTTCAGAGAGAATGAGGACTCCAGCAATATCAAAGCCCAGGGGTGAGGGTCTTTTGCCCTTCATCTGTGTCCTCCACTTCCTTCCCATGATGGCCCCTATGCAACTGTGCCTGTCTTAGGTTGCCCCTGCCATCAAGGGGGTCTTACCCATCATTGACTAACCAGCCATCCTCCAGGGCCAAGCAGGGTGATGTGAGGGAGTCACAGCCCCTGCCAGGGGACAGGTTTTGTCTCCTGCTTTCCCAAGGCCTCCTTGCTTAGCTCCAGCTTTTGGGCCCTCCTGCTTGTTGGCAAGACTACAGTCCCTAAAACCAAATGTGACGGTTCCCAACTGAAGGTGAGGAGATTAGCCGAAGAGGGTATATGCATAACTCATAGACACAGACAACAGTGTGGTGCTGTTCAGAAGGAAGGGTGCACAGGGGATGGGTGGAGGTGGGGAATGGAGGGGAAATGAAGACATCTCTATCAATGTCAACAATAAAACAAGGAAAAAAATCTCACACACACACGCACACAAAGGATTGCAGAGAGATGAGGACTTTGTAAGAGAAAGAAACACATTTTCCTAATGTAAACTTGCGGGTGGCTTTTGTGCAGAAAAAAGTATCATTAAGAGTCCACTCGTGATTTAATATTAATCTTTGGTTCTTTCACTTCTTCCCATTCTCTTCGCTCCCCTTTCTAAACAATCCAGTATTAAGGCAATTAGATGGCATGAAACAAGGTAGAAGTCTGCTCAGTGTGTGGGGGAGGGAGAGCCCAGAACAGAGAGCTCTGGGTTTCAATGGAGTGAGAAGAGAGTATTTCTGGGGAATGGCAAGAAGTGTCAGGTCCCACTTAGAGTGAGTAGAGTGGTATTAAATTAGAATTAGATGTACTGGTGTGGTCTCATTATTTTCAATACACAAATACAGGGTATATGTTAATATGGGCATATATATATGAGTATATATCCCCTCCCTCTGTCCACTGAGGGTGCTTGGGGGAGCAGTATCCAGGATCAGTGAGCACACCTAGCACCCAGATCTCAGTTTCTCAACACTATTTCTATCAAAAGGAAGCAGGGATCCTTGGGAAAAATGATTCCAGAGCTGAGGAAGAGAAAATATGTCTGGAATATCTATTTTGTGCCAGAAAGTGAACAAATTCTCAAAAAAAAAATAAAGGGGATTTATCAAAAAGACCCAGAACCCAGCTTGAAAGGGTTCCCACTGGTCAAATCTAGGACAATTAGGACATCGACATAAATAATGGTAACAACAGGCATAAAAGAAGAAACCACAAGTTCATTCTGAACCACATAAATGAATAAGTGGAAAGTTTGATGTTTACACAGTATCTCTTCACAAAATACTTAATAATTACAGAGGGAACAATGGGAAACACCACTTTCAATAAGTGATCAAAGAGAATATGATCAATATTGAGGCAAACTAAATTTGTTCTCTAGCTAATAAGATGCAGTCGGCATCCTTTTTGTAATATTCCTGCCTAAGTTTCATAACCTCAGTTTAAAAAAAGAGTAAACTCAGATAAACCCAAATCCAGAGACATTATACAAAATAACTAGCCTAAGATCTTCAAAACTGTCAAGAACAAGAGAGTAGAAGACAGAGAAATCATCCAAGACTGAGGGAGATTACAAAGACATGATAATCAAATGCAACACAGGATTCTCAGTTGCATCATTATCTTAAAGTGGGACTTTGGAGACAATTGGTGAAAATCAAATGGTTTCTCAAGATTAGCTTATGGTACTGTAAAAATGTTTATGTTCTGATTATGTTGTGATTATATTAGAAAATGTCCTTAATTGATTGAATCACAGTAAAGCATCTGGGAGTCAAAGGGTATCATGTAAGCAAATTACAAATATTTCAGGGGAAAATGGTCTTTGTGCTGTCTTTATAACTTTTGTGCAAGTCTGCAATTGTTTTGAAATATAATAAATACTTGATTTATTATATTTTAAATTCTAAACTCTAGTTACTTATATCTTCAATTATACATGTATAAATTTTATTGTTCTCTCTATAGATTTGCTGAAATTTTCAGTCATTTTTAATAGTGCTATAGTTTAATTAACTAAATTATTTTAAATATTTTAAATTTTATTTATGAACTTCCTTGCATTCAACTTTTTAATGACTTCAAATTTTCAATTAATGAATAAGACTTTCATATATATTTAAATAACTCAAATATAATTAAAATGATAAAATGAATGCCTCATGTGCTCTTAAAAGTTTTAACATGGCTTACAAATTTATAAAATTTTAATTTAAAATCATGTCTAAATTAATTATTGAAATATCATATTTAAACCCTGGTTGGTGTAGCTCAGTTGGTTGGGTATTGTCCCATAAACTGAAAGGTCACCAGTTCAATTCCTGGTCAGGGTGCATGCCTAGGTTGAGGGTTCAGTCCTTGGTTGGGGCAAATACAAAAGACAATTAACCTATGTTTCTCTCTCACATTGATGTTTCTCTCCTCTCTTTTTCTCTCCCTTCTCCTCTCTCTAAATAAAAATGAAGTTTTTAAAAAAGAAAGAAATATAGTTAAAATTAGAACAGTAAGGCTTACCTATTAAATACTGTATGCCAGTTTTAAAAATATTTTAGCTATTTTAAATTTGTGAAAGTGTAGGTATTTAAAATATTTAAAATACTTAATAAATTTAGAGATTATTCTTATATTTAACCTCAAAGTTGAAGACACTAAAAAATCAATTATATCATCACAAGTATTTTTATACTAGCTTCTGAACTACATTTACTGATAGTAAATATTGAACATAGATTTGAGTTGGTTTATGAGATGTATTTATTTGCTAGGGCAACCACAACCAAGTATTACAGACTGGGAAGAACTTAAACAACATAAACTTATTTTCTGACAGTTTTGGAGGCAGAAAGTCCAAGATCAAGGTGTCAGCAAGTTTGGTTCCTTCTGAGGTCCCTCTCCTTGGCTTGCAGATGGCACCCTACTTGCTCTTTCTTTTTTTCCCACATGGTCTTTCCTCTGTGCAGGCATTCCTGGTATCTCTCCAAGTGTCAGAATTTCCTCTTCTTATGAGAGCACTAATCGGATTGGAATAGAGTCTGCCCTAATGACCTCATTTTAACTTAATTACCTCTTACAGGCCCTATCTTAAAGTACAGTCATATTATCAGGTACTGGGGCAGAGTGTTTCAGCTATGAGTTGGATTTGGCAGGGGAAGGGAGGACACAGTTCAGCCCATAATATAGGGTGTGGACTGCAAATATCCAGGACATTCCTCTTAATTAGACTCTCCAGGCCAATGCTAAGCCAAATCTAGACCACGGCAGATTACTACGCCTTTCAAGTAAAGGTTGCCTTGGTGTCCAAGACCCTTGGCTTCAATGTCATATTACCTGATTTTGTGGTCTGATTTGAGTTTGCAGCACCTGCCCAGGTTGATTGATATTCAAATAATCTATGTGAGGTTTCATTTTACTTCTGAATTGTTTTTATATTCCTTGTATTAACAGTGCCACAACACCTATAAATATTTAAATGACATCTGATTATATTGAGCATATCTCTGATGTCTTGCCTTGCTCTGTGGTCACAGTTCTAAGGTCAAACTAATGCAACTACAGGAAATTGGAAATTCCCTTCATGTAAGTTCATTAAGGTGACTTTCGCCCAGTACAGAAAAGAGAGCAATTAGAGAACTATTATGCCTGAGTCCCCAGTACACTAAGAAAGTAATTTTAACCTAAAGCT